GCTTAGACTTTTTTTAAGGGGCACAGTCGCTGTCCAGATGACCAGCTTCAGTGATAAGGTCAGCACAATTTAATATGCAGATCATACTGCAGTAGCATCACAATTTCATGGTATCTTCAAGGGACTTAGGAGCCGCTGACTTAAGCACTTCTGTCCCATATGTACTGCTCTCCTTGATTAAGTTGCACTGGAACGCCAATATAGCCAAAGCCAAAACACATAAAAGAGACTGCCATGGACGTGTCACTTCTAATATTTAATAATTATTAAATTTCAAAAGGGTGGGGCTGCTTTATTATATTATCATTCAAATTGATCATAAATTGATAATACTTATTTTTATTCATTTTGCTTTTGGAAAATCTCTCCATTGCAGATAAATGCATTAGTCTAAAAGACAGTTCTTGTAAGTAAAGTGGAATAATGTCAAATTGGTGACTACACCCAGAAAAATCAGCCTAGTGTAGATTCAGAGACTACCCCACTTTGTATCACTGTGTGTCTTAACACTGAACTCTTCTATCTTTATAGGTTCTATGATGTTCCTAGTTTGACTTATTCAGAACCACTGAGCCATGATGAAAGGGATCTTTCCTACTGGCGGAGGCGAGGTCAGGATTTCAGCATCCTCCTGGACTATGCTGATGGCAGGGAGCTGAGGGCCTCTGCTGCTGCATGGAGGCCACAGGCCCTGATTGCAGCAGAGGAATACAGGGCAGAGAGGCAAGCGCAGCAGTTATGGGAGGACCTTGCATGGCTAAGGGACCCAGATGCAGCACCTGGTCAACTAAGGGTGACCGGGGAGAGGAAGTGCCAGAGCCTTGGTACAGAGGAGTGGAGGCCTGCCGTGGGCCTGGGAAGGCAGCTGTCGGATGGGGATGGGGACAGGTGGGCTCAGGACCATTACCGCCTGAGGACACCTGAAGGTTTTTTTCATCCTAGAACTAAAGCAAAGTCTCAGTCTCTCCCCAGAGTTTTGTCACCTGATGGAACTGGCGGTAGAGAGCTCATTCCATCCAGGCCTAGCCTACCTGATAGACAGAGGCTAAACAGCACTGTCTTCTCTGGGCCCTATAGTAGGTATATCTATAGTGGTGCTCTTGGCAGGGACCGGGGGGGGAGGAATTCCCGGGGAAGCCGCC